TTTTTTTTTTTTTTTTTTTTTTGCAAACTACACATTTTGTTAAATCACGAGTACATTCGCCAAGACCAACGGGCAAAATAATCGCTATGATAGCTTTGAGACGCGCCATTTTGGTGAAGGCAAACCCTGTGGTGAGGCTCCATGCACATCGCTTGTTCAGCGGTCGCGCATGCTCATGCAAAGAAGACTATGGCAGACAAAGAGGAAGAAGGGTAGGAACAATGACTGCGCCGAAACGCCAAGGAAGTGAAACTTGAGTAGTAATTATTAAATGGCTATATAGTACACGGAAAGAAAGACTGACTTAAAATCAAACATATCAAGCTATTCTGCTACTTAAACCCAGAAACCTGTCATTGTTTGGACAGTGTAAAATATCTACAAATAGCACGTGGTTGTGACAAGGAAAATTGACGGTACGCAGATAGCCAGTGGCCGTAAATAGCAGGGTTGACAGAGTTTGAGCCTCAGGACACAGAAAAGTGTCCATTGTGTCCGTATTATCCGGTCTCCGTATTAAAAAGGTAAATTTTATAAACTGTCCGTTATATACGGGTGTCCGTATTAAGCGGATGTTCCGTCTTGCATAGATTAAAATTTTATGTCTGTCCGGCTTCTTATTGATAGAAATTATAGCCAATCAGCGAGCGACGAATAACTCAGTTAGTTTATGAAAATGTGGCTATCTAAGAAAACTCACAAATCCCGCGCTTTGTAGTGTCGGTAATAAAATACTTTTACTTTATTCCTTTGTAACTGGAAAACAGAAAAAAAAATCTTACTGAGTGGTCTTGTGCTATAAGGTTGCCTTGGAACATTGGCAGCAAGGTCGAGTTTCAAAATCCCTTGAGTGAGGATGGCTACGAACTCAAAAGGAAGAATGAACTATTCCTGTTTGATTATTTGTTTTCATTGCCTGCAATTTCATGCAATTTCATTTTCTACTTCTGCACGGATCCGTGTGCGTAAATGGATCTCATAGAGCAAATAACGGAAAGCAGCGAACTAGTCTTGCTGGAGATCTTCCCTTTATAAAAACAAGCTAACAAGTGTCAGATACGCTTGAAGCTTGTTATCATAATGATCAGGCTGAAATGCGCATAATAACAAACGCCTATAAAGTTTTTTTCTTTCTGAGCTTGCGTACTAGCGGCATGATGCCCTGTCTTCAAATGGTGCGGTCTTAATTTCGCAGTCTACTGCGAATTTCAGTGACGTTACAGTTTAGCCCCTCCAGAGTTTAAATTCAGTCCGAGGCGTAGAGTCCATATTCTCCATATTTGGCATACCCGATCTCCCTATCAGTAACGGTCTCTTTCCATATAAGGAGCATATTAAGCAACCACGACCGCGACGGCATGGAGCGAAAACGTAACGAAAAAGTGTATTCACGCTGTTTCAAATTAATTTTTATCACTCTTATTCCATTTCGTTCAAGTTAATTGTCAAATGTTGATGAATGTTTCTTGGTGTTGAATTCTAGGGTAATGTATCTCAATGTAGGAAAAGGAAAAACAATAGTTTTCTAGTCTGAAAGCGTTCCGTGTTTCGTAATGTTTAAAACATGAACAGCAGTGTTATCATTGGTTTAACATTCGAGCGTAATAAGCGAGAGATTTTTTAACCAGTGATAAAACGCGTGCCTTGCGTTTTTTGACAAGCCTTAAAAGAATTCGAGTTTATTTAACATATGTTAAGGAACTTACCCCGTCCCTTCTCTGTAATAGGTTAATGAAAGTGGGCAATGTGCACTCTCGTAATATTCGAAATAGAAACAAGTTAGACATGCCTTCCTTTCGATTCACTGCTGGTCAGCGGCCATGAGCAGTCCGCGTCTGGAATGACTATCCCGAATCTCTAGGTAATATAGTTGTGGGAAATGTTTACTAAGTTTTTTTCTCCGCAACACCAAGAAACTACCATTATCTCAAAGCTCCCGCAGTCAAATAAGTGATGTTTATAAGAATCATAGTCCGTTGATCGCTAGACCGCCGGCATATTAGAGGTCTAGTCAATGGACATCTTCCTAATATTCGGCGAGTTGATTACCTGATGGTAGATTGCAAGTTCTGCCATCTCCGCTGGACGGACTGTTACATGAACAACTAAAGGATCCCACTATGTTTGTACATGAAGCAAGTGAACTGTGGCAGTTGTGAGTACCGCTAGGGCACTCGTCAATATCTACAAAACGAATAATGCCAAAATGTATAATCAAAAGGGTTTTCATTGCTAAGAGAGAACGGAATGAATTATCTTAAGCGCGATTAAAAAAAAACAACAAAAAAACAGCAATGATAGAGCTGCTCGTAAGGTGTTACCTCATTGGTCGCAGAAACAATAACACATCATTCATTTGTTTATCATTATTTCCATTGTTTCACGGTTAGGGTATCTAACCAATTGACTTTTAGGCCTAAAAAAATGATCGCAAGCTTGAACAATAACCATCGTTGCACTTATTATCCGATGATATAAACTGGCTGCTTGGCTCCGCTTTTCATCTATTTGTTTACTACATACAGTCAATAGTAAAATTAATTAAAATTCCTGCAAAACCAAAACTTTAACTGTAAAAGACGAAAGGAGCACAAAAGACTCTTGCATTGTTGTCGTTGCATTCAATCTAAAAACAAACATATCATACGAACGAAATTAAACTCAAACGACTCACCAGTGCAGGTGTTTCCATTGCCTGTGTATCCTGCTTTACATGAGCATGCGTAAGATCCCACATTATTGCTACACACCGCATTAACGTCACAGCTGTGAGAGTTGGTAGAACACTCGTCGATATCTGGCGAAAAAAGTGAGGAAGCTTTCAAGTTTAGTGATGCAGCAAACTCTTGATCAGTAAGGTGATTTACTCTTATTTTCTCTAGGCGTTAATCCTGCTTAACTACAATAGGTAATCGGTTACTTTATCTTTTATTTTATTTTATTTTTTTGCCTATTTTACATATAAACGAACGGGAAGGACATTAAATTACACGTAATAGACACAACTCGCAAAAAAAAGAACCTCAAAAGGCGAGGAAGTTTCAAGAAGGCTTATATTTGTGACTTTTTCTTAGCCCTTATAGCAGAATAGCTATAATAAGAGGGAGTATTAGAGGGAGTAAATTTCCTAAATTAAATGCGTAACGATTCAATGCCAATTTTTATTAAATACAACAGCAAAGTTTGTTCAGTTGGTCGTTTTGATTTGCTCCTCGCGAAGGGCGGCCGAAGTCCTTGCGTTGTCTGGGTTTATAATTTTGTGCCGCTGCATGGAGCGTTTTGGCGATCAAAAAATGGTTTTCGCGATAAATTCAGATAGGAGAAGTATTTAAAGAAGCAAATTGGACCATCAGCTTCAAAATAAGAGCGAAAATTGACGGATAAAATGAACATTTGTCAGTGCGTCTCACTCGCGCAGACAAGTTTGCTTTAGCTCGCAGGATATGTTTGTCGGACGTGCGTTTCAGTTTGGGTTTTACAGAAAAAACCTTTAAACTTCCCTGAAATCTATCTTTGTTTTGAGGCTAAGCCGTTAAGTGCTAAATATGCTTTAAAACACGCATTTAAAAATCAAATATGATAATGAAACAAAAAAGAAGACAGAGAGGAGTCCCAGGTCTTACGACAGATTAGAGCCTGGTCACCTAATCAGTTTCTAACCGGCTGGGCTTGACAATTGTGCAAGAACGAGTTTAGTGAAATTTTGCGAGATACGTATTTCTAGTTTCGCTTTAACTATTATTTCGAACTATTGAGGTTATATGTCCATCGCTTTCTACATGTTTAAATGTAAAGATCGAATATAGAAAATACAGGCACGCACATCGTTTTGGAGGCGTGTTTTACAACACCGCAACAGCTTACCAGAGCATGTTTTTCCATCGCCTGTGAATCCTGCTTTACATGCGCATGCGTACGATCCAACAGTATTGCTACAAACCGCATTAACGTCACAGCTGTGAGAGTTGGTAGAACACTCGTCGATATCTGCAAGAGAATTGTAAATTACATAAAGCGCTAGCATAACTAATATTAAATCTACCTGATGGTTTACATCTGGTAGCTAAGGCGGATGTATTCATTTTTTTGGTTCTTGTTTGTTTGTTGTTTGCATGTTACAAAAAATATGGTTTTAGGCTTTTTTCCAAAATGACATGACAGTGTTGTGCAGTTGAGCTTTTGAACACAAACATTGCACCTTCAGTGGTTTCATCGTCTTGTTTAAGAACCTTCAGATTAGGGTAGGTCGTCTCTTTGAAAAACAATTCATTGTGTGCAATTTCAAAGTTACGATATGCGTAGCTCCATCTCGACCTATGGGTCGCTTAGGAGAAGTGGTCGCACATGGAGGATCAACTGTATCTCAAATACCATTGCAAGGTTTTCCATCTCCTGTGTACCCAGCATTACACAAGCATTTGTATGAAGCCACGGTATTCTGGCAAACAGAATTGACGTCACAGGAATGGGAACCAGTGGTACATTCATCCAAGTCTAAAAAGTAAGTACACAGAGGCTTCTTGTCAAACAACATGACTTTTTTGGTCAATGAAGCTTGTTTAAAAAGAATATACTGTGGTGTAGCTGGGATTGACGTATACTGGCAAGGCAAAAAAATATGTTTGAAAAAAGGAACTTGCAAAAAGGGTCGTCAGAGTGCCCTGAGTTGACGTATGTACTTATGTTCGTCAATAATTTGCAAAGAGGTG